TTTTCTTCTATATCTAGAGTTCTATAGTAGCTTAGAGAAGTGTAAACGCAGAGTAATATAACTTTTTATACTCTTTATACTTCTAAAAGTAGAAGTTATAGTATATTAGTTAAGACTATAGGTCTAGCCTAAATAAGTTACTTTAAGTAGTAATCTTAGAGTTAGTAGTCTAATAAGTGTAACAAAAAGAGGTAAAATCTAGCGTAGTAGATTTAGTAACTATAGCTAAGTTATTCTTATAGAGATACGTATATCTATTAAAACTTATAATAAGACTAAATGCCTTAGCCTACTCTAAGTAGTTCTTAAAGCTAGATAGTTTAGTAAAGTTCTTGCTTAAGGTAGTAGTAGTGTTAATAAGCGTACTTATAATAATATAGTGTATTAAGAGTAGGTAAAGATATAGAGTGTAAAGTAGGTATTTTCTTAGATAAGGTATAGTGTAGTTAAATAACTATAACTATAGTTAGTTGCGTAATATAAAGCGTAAGTATAGTAATCTAGTAAGCTAGATTACGCGTAGTTACGTAGAAGCTTATAACCTATAGAATAGAGAGAAGTGTAAAATGTATTAATTATTTTATATATAAAGAAGTGTGCCTTTATTTATATAGAGAGAAGAAAGCGCTAGTAAGTACGCTAGTAAGTAAATTACGTAAGAGAATGCCTAACTAACACAAATCTAGTGGCATCGCTCTTAAGATCTCCTCTATTAACGGCGGAATCTCTAAGCCTAACGTTAGCTAGACTATCTTCGCCTATAATCTCGACGTTAACTAGGTCTGGTACGATATGAGCGACATCTTTGGTGATGGCTTTTCCGGCAAGTCCTTGACACTTAAGCTAACGGATGCTACCTGCGAAAGCATTGTATGGGCTTTAGGCGAGCCACCCGCGGGTAGTCAGATTAAGGTCTGTGGGGCTGAGACGGACTTGGAGCTGACATTTTGCACGCCGCCGCCGCCGTCTTAGTGCTTGCCCGCTTGGTCTCCTTGCGGGACAAATGCGCCTCTGGGTGAGACGAGGGTATGCTGCACGCATTGCATTGGCAATTATCACTGTGTACAGGCTCTAGGTTCTTAAGTAAATGTGTTTTAATGGCGAAGCGGACAAGAGTGGTTTAAAAGCTCGGCATTCGTTCTTTACTGAGGAGAAGGGGCTATCGAGGTAATGTTTGTATCGATACGTAGTTTTGCTGTTTAACACGTCGCTCATTCAGACTTTGATAGATGCAATACACTGTCTAGAACAAATGTTTTGCTAATGCTTCACCAGGGCCTTCTGCTCTAGTGATTTTTGACGTTAATATTCGTTGGACTCAGTCCTGTTTCTGGGGCAGTAACCCACTGAAGCTCTTCGCATAAGACAGTTTCAGTACTCATTCGAAGATCTCACAGATCTCGCCATCAGCTAGAGTGACAATCGGGATTCCCGCCCTCTTCGCCATCTTCGGAAAATTCACCACTATGTGATCAGGCGGGGCCAAATCGCCGCGCCAATGCACCTCTAGGCGTCGTAAATCCTTCAGAGGCGCGAATTTGCCCTTGAGATAATCATCTAGTGAGACCAAAGTATCATGATTCGCTTGATGAATCGCGAGGGTATCCACACCCGCCAGGATAGGGTAATGGTTCAGGGTTGGACCAGACTCGACTTCGAGGATCCGCAGATTGGGGATACTCTTCATGAGGGCTAGTAGGTTCTGTGCAAACCTTCCTTCGCCCCTGAAGAAGAGTCCGCTTGTGACTATGACTTTGAGGGTATTGACGCTAACCCAGCAGCCCTTGTGCACTGTTGGAAATGCTGTACCTCTGTCGTACTCGAGAGTGAGGTTGGTGAGAGTGAAATAAGGAATCGCGCCGAGACCTTCAAACCCAGTGGAAAGTGCGAGTGACGATATCCTGGCGGGTGACAAACCCTGTTTTAGAGGTGTGAGGTCGAACGCTGAATCCCAGAAGTAATGTTTGGGATTTTGAGATTCCGCAAAAGAACGTCTTGTGTACAGTTCCGTGGTCTGAAGTTTGGGAAGTGCCGCGAGAATGAGACCACACACTACGGCCTCTGAAGGAGATATGAAGTCCTTCATGAGTGACTTCTTCTCGTCAACCGATAGCTGGAGTGACTCAGCAATGTTACCCAGATTCTTTTCACAGCTACCACAATTGCAGAGCCTGTCTTTTTCGTAGTCTTTTGGAATCCAAGCTGGCGACTTGTTCCAGAACCAAACAGCCAGGCTGCGCACACGGATGCCAAGTTCTGGACGATGGGTTATCGTACGTAGAAAGGGCGCCAAGAAAGAAGGGGCCCTTTTCTTCAGCAAATACGAGCGGTATGGCTGAGGCAGGGAGACGTCGCGATACAAAATGGCTTGGGCTATAGGGAGCAGCCGCTTGCATGTCAGACTCGTGAAAAGTATACTCTGAACTTCTGCCCCATGCCTCCAACGCGCCTGCTCAGTTTCTGGTGCCACTTCTGGGTATTCCCCGTATGTGCGGTCATAGGTGCGATCACCGTACCCTTGGCTCATGAGTAGACGCTTGGTAGGCGCAAGGTACTCTACTATCCGCAACAGCAGCTCGTTGGGCAAACGCAGAAGACGGCTGTCATCTGGTTTTCGCGTTGGTGATGAGGACGGATTGATGCGCAGGTAATCAAAACACTGAGCCATGGAGTCGTCGGAGTCATCGGAGTCGCACCAATCCCTCCGCGCGGGTGCCATTTGATCGTAATGGGTGGAGGATGGAAGTGGAAATGTATTTTCAGGTCTGACTGTGGGGATCGTGATCAGCTCGCACAGAAGTTGGTATTCCCAAGCGCTTTCTCTACTTGACAAGCGCACCAATGGGTGTGCGATTCTTTCCTCCGTTGCTCGTGACAAACCAATGTGTGTGTGTGTCCTCAAATCAGGCAGACACAGAGCTGTCAACTCGGCCCCGCGGGACATTAGACCTCCAGGGCCGCAATTTGGGGCAGGCTATACCGGATTCGGCATAGATCAAGATAGGGGAAGGGCAAGCGTCACGCAACATCTCTCTATTCCACCTCGTAACTATTGCGCGCAACCATATTGCCATGGCAGCTGGTAGCTCTATTCAGATCGGATGACTTTGCGCGAGCTCTTTACATGCGAGCAAGACTGGTTGTTCCCTACTGCAACTTTGCCGTACTATACAAACACGAAGGCCCTGTCGATTGACAAAAGTACCTGGGTAGCTACACATTTATCGCACATCATCCTTCATATCATCTAACACGCTAGATCATAACCGCATCTCCATCAGCGTCCCACTCAACCTCCACCCTATCCATCGGATCCTGATGCACGCCAAAAGGTCCCATCGCTTTCTTCCAGCACACGTACTCCGCACGATGTAGCACATCTGGCTCGGCCTTCAATCGCCACGGCGTACCACCCTTCGACTCCCACGTCGACATAGTCCACGGCGGGAAGTAGAGATACACCGCAATCTCGGCGTCGCGACATATTTTGCGTACATCGTCGATTGGATCTAGACAGTTGTCCAGTTCGGCGCTGAATCTGGTGTTGTCTAAATGTTCCATATGATAGGCTTCTATGCGCGTGAGGTTGGGTAGGTGGAGCTTTTTCTTAGCGAGACAGAGCGTATTTAGGAAGTTGGCTGTGATGTGCGTTGCCTCGCTGATGCGCAGGACTTCCAGCGTCTTTGGGAAGATCTCCGCGGGATCCGTGATTGGCAGTCCTTGTCGTATGATTCCATGGCCTTGTATCGCCTTCATAGTCAGACCGACTTCCCTCAGGCTCTCGAAGCGGCGGAGGTCGAAGACTGTGGTCACGCTGTGGGAGTATCTTATCGCTGTCATGTCGCTCGGTATCTCAAGGACTGTCAGATGAGGTAACTTGGCTGTCAGCGCTCCAAGCAAGAACTTGTGCTTCCACTCGTATGGTAGTGTATAACTCGCGCGAGCAGATGCAGACCGCGCACTGGCGAAGAGAGGGAAGTCCATGAGCCATGTGTCGCCGAGTTTTAGCTCGCGTAGGTTGGGTAGTGCACAGATGAGGACGCCAAATAGCGCGGGGACGATGTCATCTTTGATAGCTTCTAGCCAGTCCTTTGCATGTCGCTTGTTGGTAGCGAAGTGATTGATCATGACCCCACATGCTTCCAGGAACTCAGCGTCCTGCTTTATGTAATCCGGAGCAGGTAGCGCATTATATTTGGGTTGGGTGAGATACACTTGTACCCCAGTACGGGTAGTATGTTGGGTTCTGGTTGTCCTGCCTTCACTCTTACTCCAAATCTCCAAGCTCTTGACCTGGCCGAGCAGATGCGACCGGTAGCCCAGTTCCGACATGTACCGATCGATGAATGCGAGATTGAACCTTGGTTCTTTGAGTAGCCATTCTTGCGCGACAGGCCTCCATCTTTTGGATACGAGCGCAAGACTTGCAAGATCCCGGTTGCGACTCAAACTCGTGAACTGTGCGCCGATGTTGAGAAGTAATTCTTCCGGAAGATCGCCGATAGTCTTAGGTGTGCGAGGTGAATGTGAGAACGCGGAAGGTCGGAACATGATGGGCAAGCTAGAGAAATTCGGGCTGGAGCAAGGGTCGCGCGGGCGGTGATATGGTGGGGTAGGCGCGAGGCTGAGATGTCTAATTAGGCAGCGGTGATGAGTGGTTGACTCGCGCCCAGGCAGCGATAGGGTATCATCGACGGATAACAAGCTGCCAGAATATACGAATGAGCTTTGCGCTACCGTAAGGATTGGGTCACGTCGAGTGCGGGGTGACCAAATTTTGGAAGTTTGGAAGAAGCGCACGGTTGTGTCACGTGTTTGCGTCTTTCACGTCCGATCTTTGCAGCGAGCAGATGCAGCTGATAACTTCGGCCCATCTCATGCCCACTGCTCTTCCCAGACTACTACGAATACTATCTAGAATCTTTCACAGATCGATAATCCACCCTGAACATATTGAGAGACAGGCCGGCTCAGAAACCTAGCCCATGTTCATCTAATCATTAGATACCACCCAAACCTTCTGAACAGTTCCTGTAGCATAACCTCCTCTTCGGTTGCAGCAGTATCTTCCAGGCAACGCTAGCCCACAGTGTCTCACTGAACTCGGCGGCCATGGGGATACTTACAGATTCTAAATGCAGACGTTCTATGTCCTCGTCCAAGCCCTGCGCCTTATCGGTAATGTATGATGCAGGCTCGTTGAATTCAGCTTTCTTGGACCGCTTTGTCTGCTCTTCTTTCGCACACGGTTTCTTGATCGAGTCTCTGTACTGATCTGGAGACTGTGCGTTCGTACTCTCCGTGGTGACAAAGCTCGCACCAAGGAATAGAGTCTCTTTAGCGAGAGGCGCAAGTTTCTGCTCGAAGCGGAGAGTGAACTGGAAACTGTCCAGATCTGCCGTGCGCGTTAGTCTTATGTCAGTATCGCACCAATACCAAACTCACTCAGTAATGGCGAAAGCCGTCGCCTGAACGCACGCTTCCCCAGAGCCCTGTCAGCCCATCCACTAGAGTCGATTGTCGCTTGCTTCTTGTTTGGTTCTTGAAGCTGCGGATCCCACTTGCTGCTCCTGATACCATGAAAGAATGCACTCTGTATCCACAACCTCAAATCAAATGTGGGGCTGTTCAGGAGTTGCGAGTGGTGGTCAGCGTGACGTAAGAACACCCTGACGCCAAAGGCCGGTTGGGGTTGTCTGCTTGCTTCTGGAGCCCACTCGGAGAATGGCGCTGATGACCCTGAACAGCGCCACATTTCCAGAGGCCGTAAACGATAAAAAGCCTCGAGTTCTTGGCGCATGTCGCCGGTTACCTCTTGGGACCCACTATGGAAGGTCACTTTGATGCCTTTGCGACCGAGGCTTGTAAGTAGGTCAAGGTAATCCAGCCGACCCAGATCGAAAGCGTTGCACAGTATGATGAGTTGTTTGCACGGCGTGTTGAAAGATAGCTCAATGTGCTTGAGTCTCAGGTCGCCCACGGGGATTTCGTTTATTCTTTGCAAAAGAGCAAACGTCCATTTATTACACGAGCGCAAGTGAAGGCGTTGGATAGTGAGTGGTATGACTTTGGAACGTGCCTCTTCTAAAGTCTTTTTAGCCGGGAGCGCATCATTGACACGTGCTGCAAAAGGTTTGGCCGCAAGAGAGAAGACTACGTCGTCGGGGCGCCCAAGAATGCCCATGGGTATGTCAAGCCGCTTCAATCTTGCGAAATCCGCCAGTGTGATTATGTGCGCTCCCATACTCCTCCATTTGGCATCGTGCGACTCAAGAACCTCGATGGTGGGCGGCCCTTTCCATCTGGTGTTCTCCGCGATTGTGAGAGATTCGAGCTTGGCCTGGAACAGTGGTAACGCTGGTCCTTGGAATGGAGCACCGGGTAGCATCTCAAGATTCAGCGCTGGAAAGACTAGAGGTGCCCGCTGAAGCGAACGTGGCGGTTGGCTGGAGAAAAAGGGCCTCACTTCCGGTAGCTGAACAGCCACCGATTTGATGTTGGGACACGATATCGCGAGAAGATTAAGGTAAAGCGCTGGCTCCTTCCTCCATATGGTGCCGACTGAGGCGTTGCTTTCCCAAACTCGGCTCCAGTCCGGGGTATGTCCAGTAGTCGTAGAGATGGCTGCGCCAAGACCTTCCAGTATGTCCAGGTCGAGACTGTTTCCATTCGCGCAGAAACAGCCTACGTGGTGACTGCACCCGAAATCCCCAAGATTGATACTGAGTACCTTGCTAAGGAGTTCCGGCTGATAGCCAAGCATTCGCAAGAAGCCTTTGATGTTCCTCCCCGACACGATCAGCTCTCGCAGGATGGTTTTTTGAACAATTTCTCCAAGACGTTTGTTGACCAGTCCAAAATTGAAGATGTGCGTAGTGCCGAGCATGTTGGAAGCTACCATTTCAAGGAGTTCGGATGGGAGGCGCAGCATTCCGTTGTTTTGGACAAGGTGGGTGTCGACTTCGTCCGACAGCGCAGACGCATCGTGCTGGCCGACATCTTGGGAGTCTTCGGGACTGAATTCTGGTATCGCAGCTTCCCGTGAGAGAGGTGGTGTCTTGACTCCGTTTGCGGGACTCGCTACGCGTCGCTTCCTGGGACTAGAGCTGAGTGGCGTCATCGGCGCCATCGCGGTATTGAGAGGGTGAGATGTGGTTTGGGTGGTTGAGTTGAATCGCAGATTATCGCGCTGGTATACTGATATTCTGGCAAATATCCATGGGTGCATGTGAGTACTGTGGGTCAATCACAAGGGCGGCTACCGCGGTACCTGCATATGGTCAGTTATCGGGTGACGTAATCGAGTGAATGTAGTGGGGTATTACTTGAACAACCTCTCTAGACTGTGAAAGAATGTCTTTGCTTCGTAGCTTAAAGGCAAGGAATGTGTATTGCGCAACATGTGTACCGTGGCTGCTCGTTGACTGAGGTGCAAGGAGGGTGTGACACGTCCACGCCAAGCCGCTAGTATACAAGCAGGTGACTCGTTCCGATGCTCTTTCCATTGACACGCATGCCCTACCAAGATAAGAAACGATAGCTACGCGCAAGCGTGGGTATAAGGATATTCATTTCGTGTCGCTTCAAACCTTGCTCGATATTGCAGTATCGCGTCGCATCCCGGTGCGTCATGTCACCTCCACCATAAAAGACGGCACTCACATGCCCAAGACCGACAGCGGCGATGGGATGTACTCTTCCCAAAACACATTCATCCATCAAACTACCGACTTTGTACTACCTACGTCTCTTTAGTTGTAACCCTAAGAAACTGCAGCTCCTTGGGCTTATGCGCCGAATGCCCATTGCAGTCAACCAAAGGGGCGACAGTAAGCACATTGCCACTCTCGTCTTCAAGTTTGAAGTCAAAAGTAGCAATGAAGTACGCGGTGATGATATTCTGCTCGAGTTTCGCAAAGCGCATGCCCAAACACGGATGCCGTCCTGACCCCCAACCAAGGAAGCCATGTGCTGCCTTCTTCTTGTCCTCCGCACGATCTGGCATGTATCGAGCCGGATCCCACTTCTGTGGGTCGGGATAGATCTCTGGATCGTAGTGTATGTCGCCCGGGGCGTATGTGACGAATGCGCCGGGTGGTATGACTTCGTCGCCGTTACCCGTGGGTATGTTCTTGCCGCTGATGTTCCGCCTGAAGGCCGTGCCGAGCAGATTCAGACGTAGAGAGTCTCGTAGACACATGTCGATGATTGGGAAATCGGCCTCCCATGCCTCTACAGGTACGTCGTCGAGCTGCTGGAGCAAGGGTGCGTTCGGGTTCTTAGCGTACCTTGCCGCATTACTGCGGACTTCGTCGTTCGCTTTGGCGAGCCATTCGGGTGAGGTGGCGAGATAGGACATTACCTAGTTAACATCAGTTTACATTCTGTCGGCGCAAGGTATGCAGAGGGTTGGATTTACTTACCCAGGCTACATTTATACCGCTGTTGAGTAGGCCAGCGAACAACGCCCCAACGACGAACTGAGAGACTCTCTCGGCGCGATCACCCTGATCCAGCAAGTACTGCAGCGCATCATCGTGCTTCTCGTCGCTCGCCGCACGCTTCTTGATGATTTTGTCGATCATCATATAGAGTTGCGCTCCTGCCCAGTTCCGCTTCAAGAGAGCCGGTGAAGGGAGCTTCGGGAACAAGACTGACGTAGCGGTAGAGCTGCTTTCAATCGTCTCAAACATCTTGAGAACCTCCTCTAGCATCTGAGGGTCTTCGGCAATCTCAGTAGCGCCTACCATGCGGATGGTGAGGCGGAAGACGACCCGGTACAGGCTCTCGAAGGGATTGGTGCGGCCACTGGGCTCATTCTTGATGGCTTCGAGAGCTTGCTTTGTGTCGGATATCAAGATAGGCAGCTTGCGACGGAATTGGTCGTTCTTCAAGAAGAAGTTAAGACGGCGATGGAACATGGCGCTGAAGCTGAGATTGTTATCCTCGGCGGTAATGGTCCTGGAAACTTTGGGCGAGTTACCGAACAACACAGCATATCCTTCGGTGAAGCCCAGATCTTTCGACTCGAAGAACAGCTGGCGCCCTTTGTCTCCTGAAAGCGCAACAATCATGTTCGGTCCAGCATGGAAAGAGAAGGTTCCTGTCTTGGACTGGTCGCGTCGCTCGCTCCACCATTCCCATCTTCGGGTCCAGAAACCAAGAGCGCCGACGACTGCAAGATCGTCTTTGACTTGAGGTGGCGCATTCTTAGGGACGCGATGCGAGTAGGATAGTGCGCCAATAGCGCATGCTGTCAAGGCTAGCCCAACTATTGCGAAGAAGGGGGGTTTGATATCTGAAAACCGCTGGAGGACATCAACTACCGCCATCTTGCTGGAGAAATACGACTGGTGACTGCAGTGAGTAGCGCAGGGGTTTATGGCCTTCTTGGGTTTCGCCGCGCTGAGAAGGGGTTGAGGGCAACCCTGATATAGATAATGAATGCAGTCGCAAAACGAGCGCGCCACAGCTCTTATGTGGAGCCTGCATTCCAGAAAGGTACTGCTGCAGGATTGGCGACGCCTGGCGCATCATGGATCATAGCTCATCGGTGCTGCGGCAAGCGTGGTAGTGACGCTGCGCATGGCAATATCAAGCAAGTGTTAGAGTGAAACAGGAACAGGGCTACGAATTGGCCGATATACTCAGTGGCGACACAATCAGCATGCTCGCTCGTATTACTACGGGCGGTTGTCTGGAAAGATGCACATGTGTGATCGCTTGCCGCTGCTCCATACATTCCCCGGCCCGTCCTGCAGTCGTAATCCTCGGCATCGCAGCCACAATTCATACAACCATCGGCCATCGGTTCGGCACTCGGGTTCCGACTGTGAGTGTCTAAACGAGACACAACAAACACACGGCCACCGGATAATATACCTCGTCTGCAAAGGCTTGCATAGACGAGAGCCCGAGAGGGTGGAGCCGATAGTCACCACAGCACCTTCCTTTTTGGTCCTGGCACTGAGGATGCTGCAGCTGAGTAGGATCCATGGTCTTTTCCTGCATCTTCTCGAGAAGAGTGAGGACTCCAGGGCCCTTGCTCGCCAAGAAAGCGAGCCATCGGATTAAAGTCGGCATAGGACTGCTGTTTGCACCCATTTGCCATGATATGAGCAGATGTGAGCTCGCGCGCAACCTCGTTGTATCCTCCCCTCCCTCTTCCCAGTCTAGTGTAGTTGTCACTGCCCATAGCATCGACGGGCATGGCGCGAACAGAGATGTCCATGCCAATGCCTATACCCATGAGGTCGTGCTCCATACTGTTCGGACCTGCTCCTTGTGTGTGCTTTTCTTGTGTACCGACGTGATCTAATGAGACCAAGTTCCGTTCGGGATTTCTTGTGGGCTTCTGCGACGTGCCTGCTGGTCGATACCGAGGATGCTCGACAATGATACCGTCGGGCCGCTTGACCGCGCGGTACTTCTTTGTAGAGCGCCGGGGTTTGCTCTCAAGTGTCATTGTAATACTAAGGTCGGCGTTCAGAGGCAGGCTCTGGGGGATTTGCTCGTTCGGTTCGATCGATGTTGACGACGTGTGTCTTGGTTCGCGCATGTGGACGTGAGGAGACTGGTGTGAGACTGATTGTGTAGTGAGGGTCTGGATGTGTGGTATCTGTAGATGTGGTGATAGCTTTCTCCATGTCAGTGTACAATGCTTGTCCTTTGTATACTGGACGTCAGCGCATCGCGCAGTATACCCAACGCCGTCGTCAGCGACGTAGCCATGGTCTGAAGAGTCCAGATCTCTCCCATCGAGATCATAAACTCTCCACCTCCCTCATCTCACCCTCTCTAGCACGACAAGCACACCGTAAGGTAGATGCCTTGCGCACAATTGAGCCTGATCGACGTTATACACACCACAACGACATCATACCAGGTCCTGCGGTTACGACGATGGCGGTCTGGATCCGTGGATGCGATGCGCCCTCTATCCGTCTGCAGCCCTATAGTGTGCGAGCCCGTTAGACCACTGCAGCTGTGTCCGAAATTTTGGTATATCCAGAGCTTCGACCGACGTCATATCAAGTGCGTCGCACGGGAATCTAGACCATCAGAGCGACAGTTGCGCTGCTGAGCCCCTGTCGCGTCTCGTAGCCGTGAAAGGGTGCGCCTCAGCTCAAGCGCGTGCGGCCACACAGCCCCCTGCGCAGCATCGCGAACATGTCGTCATATGTGAAGCTGGCAGCTGGAATAGGCTTCGTGGGATCGTCTGCGCGGGTATCGGGGGCAGGCGTCTGAAATAGCCAGAGGGTCTAGATTTGATATCGTGGGGGGCCAGAGGGGGCAAGATGGCGAGAGGGAGGCAGGAGGGACGGAGCGAGTGGGACCGGTAATGATGTCAGGGCGCGTGCGCAACAGCAGACGGGGGTGAGCAACCCATCGCTTCTTCACGACACCAACACGACGCCTGGCACTACATCACTGCAACAATCTCCACATTAACCTTAGCTTTTTTATTCGTCTTTTTGTTTTCGCTGAATGATCTGCTTTTCGAGTCCACCGCAGCTTCATTGGACAAGGCCCACCTTACGTGTCTGCTGTCACCCATTTTCACAGACTCAGGTCGTCTTTCCATATCGAATTGTCGCAATAACCCCTTCCAACCAATACTTCACATATCAGGCCCACTTATTAGACAGCCCCGTGATACTGTCGAAGACGGCGCCATCAAGGAGACCTTAGCACATAGCCGAGTGCTGCCATCATCTCAGGTTCCTTCTCTAGCTGATCATGTGTAGTGGCCAGACACTTCTCGATGACAGGGATGAGATCACCGGGGGTATAATGCCTTTCTGGCTGTCTCGCGTCCGCGTAAAGTTTCCTAGTATCCCAGGCGGTAGTCAGGTTACCGCTCGGTGCCTCCCATCCTATCTCGCGGAATTTAGTAGTGCCAAAAGCGGTGGTTAGGCCAACACGCGATGCCCGCCATCTCCGAAGCGCAGCCGGGAACTCCTTGTTGTTGGAATAGGGAATGGATCTATAATGCCAGCCCATGGAGACGATGTTATACGGATACAGCAGCTGGATTTCGCGCAATCTTGGAAAGTTGACATCATCAGCTATCAGATTGTCGAGCCATTGTGTGCCTGGCCATAAATTCTCATGGCTAATGCTCGTACGGAGAGACTCGAGGGATGAAGGGAGTACGTGGCGAAGCTCAGCCGTTGCTGGATCACGAATGCGATGTCCGAACGTAACCCTGTCGTGGATGCATAGCTTGTCGAATAGGTATTGGTATGGGATCACTAGCCGCTTGAGACTTGAAAAGTCTACCGGGTCCAGGCCGATGATCAGACTGTTGTGCAAATATTCACTGACAAGACTAACTTCGACATTGATCTCCTCGAGTCGCGCTTGAAGATCCGATCGCGTTTGTCGGATTGGTTGATGCGTCGATATGGTTGCAGGCTTGTTGTGACAAACGAACGCATTATATGCGTCGTTGAGTTCATCGAAGATGGTGCCGGACATCCCATTGAAGGATGTAGCCTTCAGACTATGCGCAAGAGTAAAGAGAACGGTCATGCTCTCGAAAAAGCATACTGTCCATCTATCCGCGTCTGTCGTGCTATGCTCATAGCAACCCCTGCTGATTTTCCATGCGGTGTAGTGTTTTTGGTATGAATCACGCGCTACGTCCATCGTCATTGGTCCGAGACGAAGATGGGTGAAGGACGCGACCAGATCTGGGTGAATTCGCAACATCGCGTTCAGCTTCCACAGGTTTGCAGGCTCGACAGTCGCTCGTTTGATAAGACCTTCCTGTGCTATTGGACGCATACGACGGCAAGTGAGCGAGAGAGCGTGGAGGTCTACGATTTCGACTCCGCCAGTGATACTGACCAGGAGCTCATCGGGAAGTCGCAGTATCGCGGTCCTGGATTGCGACATGGCGGCGGGTTGTGAGTTGAATCTCTTCCGGAAGTACAGATCTGTTGGTTTTGATTGTGTAAAAGGCTGGATTGTTCAATGTTGCTTGTGGCCTTGAGCCACGCTCGAGCCACGCTAACTGCATCGGGTAGGCTTCTGGTGGTGAGAGAGGAAAGAGCTCTTGGCAGTTGCACAATCGTAACGCGATTCACTATGGAACTTGCTTACCTCTACGGACCTCTCGCCCGAATTGTACCGTCTCAGGCTACGTGCGCGAATTGCGGTCAGTGGACCCTTTTAATTCCATCCTTGCACTCGTCCTTCGCCGGGATCATAACACTGACTCTACCTCGACTGCAACATCAGTGGGCTACGATACACCTCATATGAGCGCAAATTCCACGCCATTTACCGCTCCTTCACCGGATCTGGAGGACTTGGGAGCGCCTAACGAAGCTGCACTCGCGTGAACAGTGTACCCTGGCGTCAATATCCCCATATAATACTAGTTGACGATCGAATTCTAAGGATACACACCTTCCATGACTTGCTATCTTCGACTACAACAATTGAATCACCACTCTACAACACTCGTTCCGATCCAATGGAAGTTCTTGTGGACCATATCTTCAACATGCTTAAATGCGTGAAGATCGGCTCCGCAAATATGTTGGTCAATATCGGTAAACTGGTTGTCGTTTTCGTTGCGGCCCCCATACTCTACCACTCTCAGGTATCTTGCTTTCCATAATGAGCACCCTAGAAAAGTCACTCTCTCATGTTCTGTTCAGTACACGATACGCTTATCAGTTTACCTACGTCGATCCGACGGATCTTATCGAACAAGACTGCTGGATATGCCTGCGGACGTACTTTAGCCAAGAAGAAGACGACGAGGACGGAGACGAGCCAAGACCCGGGTGCCTACCCATAAGGCTACCATGCGGCCACATTGTTGGGCAACACTGTTTCGAGCACTACCGACGCGCCACCAACGATGTAGAACAATGTCTCCTATGTCGCCAGAAGCTCCTTCCACTACTCCCTCGCACGAAATCCACTGCTCTTCTAGGCAGGGTATGCCGAACACCCTGGTTCCAGTGGCACGACCGCAAACTCGGATGGACGCCGTTCGGCGTCGAAGACATGGATGCATCAAGCAGCGAGATCAAAATGTACAACGGCGAGGTACTGACATGGTTCGACGTATTCATCATTATCGTGCACGACGAAGCCTCGCGCGCATTTCTATTCATCACCCTTCCCATATTCGCCATCGTCGCTCCTGTCGCTGTCTTCTGCCTGGCTTATCAGCGATTCGGGAATACACCTCCGTCGTACGTCGCTATCCACGATCCAGCCTTGCACGTTGCGTATGGCACATACTCGTACGGTTTAATGGAACGCTTCCCGGAATTGAGACTCTTATGCGACGCTGCCACTGGACATGCAATTTATGATCGCGCGCGTTCTGGCGCCCGTTCTGGCGAGGATGTCGCACCTGCCGTTTTCTTCATAATTGCAGGCTTTGCGTTCACTCGTTTGACATACGAAACACACTTTCCAAGGTCCAGTAGGAATATGTTGAAGTTTCTAGTGTACGGACGGTTGGCGTATGCTGTGTTGGGGTTTAGCGTCATCATGAGCTTCGGGTTTCTAGACATATTCGCATACCTGACTGTGGCGACTCTCGTCGTCCTAACTGCGAATGCGCGGGCAAGAGGAAGTATCCAAAGTGCATAGTTCTGGAAGGAGCACGAAGCAAGAGCAGGCGACTGAAGTAGAATGTTGACTCATACAGTGCGAGAATGAGATTCATATAGTTCGACATGTGGTACGAATGCACCAGAACGATCTTGAACAGTGTTTGTTGTAATTGGCGTTGTGTATCATGAACACCTCTTTTGTCTTATTACGCCTTCATATCTACGGTCTCTATGAACCGCTTATAATTCGTTCATGCCTCATTCATGTCTTGAGCTCAAGGAATCCTGATCACCATATCTAGGCATCCGAAACCAGCATGTCTATGACTAGCAAACCCTCGCTTCTCGACCTACCCAACGAGCTCCTCCTCCAGATTGCCAGCTACCTAGAGCCCGACGTGAGAATCGACAAAGACGCTGGCTATGGTTCGCCCACTTGGCTTCCTCTTCATCCCAAAGATCCGCCGACAGCTACACTTCCTCAGAGTGCCACAGAGACACGGCAGAAACATAGAGAAAGCACGCAACCACTAGTGAATCTAGCATTGACATGCAAGCGGCTTGCACCCATCGCGCAAGAATCGCTGTTCAAAAATGTATCGCTACCGCGCCAATTACAAGACCGCGAACCGTCGTACGACGGCTTTTATGCATCACCGATGCTGCATTTCTTGCGTACAATCATCGAGCGCCCCGATCTCGTGAAAAATGTGTGCAGTTTAGCGATATGGTTATGGAAAGGTGGGCCTATACGGCCGTTACAGTACCTAAGCGAATCGTCAGACCATGAGCCGGGAAGCTTAGCAGCAAAGATGGCCAACATTGTGTACACTCTTCCCGACGGCTCCCAGCGATCCGGCACAGGTCACGCGCGATGGATACAGAGCCTCTCTTGCCCGAGTGAACTCATGGTCGCTAGTTTAATACTGGCGTCTTTGCCTCAACTGCGCGCCGTCGAGATCTACGCCAAAGCAGCCCCTAGTTCTAACAACGTGTATGGAAACCTTGGTTGGTTTCTCAAGCGAGAGGAAGAAACTGGTATTCGTCGGCTAAGTCAAGGTCTGAGCATGACGAATATAAAAAGCCTCACTTTGTCTGCTAACCTCAACTGGTTATGTATCAACACAAGCAGTCTCACACATCTGACCCTGGACTACAACGGGCGGCACCCATTTGCAAATTTCCTCAAGGGAGACATCGCGCCTATCACAGACCTGACTATCCTCTGGGAATGCAACGACACTGTCGACCCAATGGGGAGATTACAACTTGGAAATGCAAAAAAGCTCAGGTACTTGTGTAGAAGGCTCAAAAGTCTACACACGCTTCGGTTCAACTCCTCAGCGTACTTGCTTACAAGGAAAAGACCCCCCCACACGATGGAACGCATAGTCTTTCAGCCAGCTGACGCGTTGGCTTTCAAGTTTGCGGAGAAGATTTGCGGTTGTGCTTTGGGTTATCGCCTTGATAGGTTGCGTGTTGTTGAGCTGCATCGGTTCATCGAAGGGCCTGTGCCTGCTACGGTCGTGCTAGAAAACGTTCGGACTCGGGATGCCGTGACTGGGCAGGAAGTGTGGACTGTGTGGCGGTCTGAGCCGGGCTGTCCCCCAGTGAGTACGGGTCGTCTATCAACAAACAAAAACTTTCAACTCGATGATTAGAGGTAACGGGATGGCTTGAAGATCGTAGTTAGTAAGCCACAAATCGACACATCGGTCGCGGTTGGATTCTGACAAAATGATAAATCGCGTCTTTGTTGCCAATGACGGTTTTCGTTAACGTTTATTTATCATCTACCAACTACCTCGTTGGTGCATTCACCAGAGGTTCAGCGCAGCAGCACCAGCAAGGGCCAGCAGCGCAGAGCCCTCAATGCCGTACTTGTGAGCAGCACCGGTGCTCTCGGGCAGAGACGCAGATGCCGAATCAGATCCACTGGCAGCCGGTGTAGACGCTGAAGCCGAAGAAGCCATCGTGCTAGTCGGCATGACAGATCCACTGGGTGTCATCGCGCCCGTGCTGGCACTCCTCATAGTAGTAGCAACAGTGCTGCCAGCTTGCGCTGAGGCAGTCATGCTAGTCGCAGCACTTGCAGCAGGAGTCAAGAGGCTGTTTCCAGCAACGACGGTTGCAGAAAGGAACTGCACGTCATCACTGGAGAGTGTCGCAGTGATGGGTTTGCCGCCCGTATCGTCATTGCCACCAAGCTGGTTCACAGTGCAGGTCATCTCGACTGCCTTCTCGTTGTAGTCGCATCCGAGGCTCATGGATATCGTGTCGGTAGACATTTGGGCTTGGAAGCGCGTTTGCGAAAGGATGGTGACATCGAGGCCTGGGCCCCAGCCGCACTCGCTATCGTCGACGCCCGTGGGGCATGCGATGTGGAACTCGGTAGTGGAGGGGTTGGCGGTGTTGATGGTTGCGACAGGGTCGATGCCGTCGTAGCCTACGCTTGTTAGCCTTTGATCTGCGGTGTTCCTCGGACTAGAGTGACGTACCACCAGGGAAAAAGAAGCTGACGACGTCTTCAGCACAAGCCGCGCTTGCCAGGATGGAGAGGATAGCAATGGATTGACGCATGGTGGGTTGTGTGGGTCTCGTAAAAAACAAGGATTAGATTAGGGTATAACGGTCGGAGTTGCGCAAGTACAGAGAATGACTGGATTGGGTATAAATGAGTGTGTGGTCGCAAAAACGACTGACGATACGAGGAGCTGAGGCTTGACGGCGTGCAGACGCCTGTACGAGGAGGCGCATTGCTACTTAATATTTTCCCCTGACCTTGGTAACAAGGCTTGTTCGGCTAGTTGCCGCAGACAGGCTGAATGCTAGTGTCGATCTGCGTTAGCCGTGTGGGTTATCTTGTGGGAAATTAGACAATGCCATACAGCGGAGCTATCCAGCCAATTAATTTTGCAACCCTAGCAGGCATAGGATGCGTTGTCATGCTCATAGTGCCGGTAGATGAATTTGACAAGAGCTTGACATGGTTCCCAGATGTTGTTCGCCGGTTCCCACGCGCGAAGATCGCGGATCCAGAGCAAGGGATTGTTCGTTCCAGTCTGTTTCTAAAGGCAGAGGCAGAGTCTTGTACCGATCCGGTGTACGCTTAGGATGCAGCGATCCCTTTGGCGCGAGCGTTATCGATTTCGGATGCAAGTGAGCGAGATTGTAATTCTCCTCGGCCGTAAAAGCTGCTGCACGATTCGAGGAGCAGGTCATCTGGCGATGCGCCGCGCCGTGGCGAAGCGCATAGCCTTCGAGAATTTCATGGCACCGGCAGAAACTGAGACGTTATTCTCTCCGGCCGAGGCTTGGGGGATGCCAGTTTCAGGCCGCGACCTTCGGACAAACGTGCGGATTGCCGATCATCGGCATTTTCAGACTTTGCCGCATGGTGAAGAGCGTTTTGTCACCCCCTGGGCATGTTGGACAAGGGCAGGTTGGTGGAAGGGAGAGGCGTGGGATGATCGTTGTGCGGAGAACTGCAGGAACAACCGGCAGCTGCCCCACTTGGCAAATCACCGTAAGGTCCGATAAGAGCAGCACTGCGCGCGTGCAATAACACCAGCCTGGGCACAGTAATCCGTTTGAGTCTTCTAAGCCATCTTGCGACATAGGCACAACTCGTATCAAACTGAAATTGCGGTTATTTGTATTATCAACAACCCAAGGCTGGCCAGCGTCGTGAACCCGCACCGCCCAACTCGCCTTAACATGAGATGGCATCTCCCTCAACCGCGTCGCAAACGACCAACGGTATCCTCATCCTATGGGGATCTGTTGACTCTGCCACAGTTGATCAAGATGCACTGAACGATTGGTGGACCAACGAGCACCTGCCCGAGCGTGTATGCCTCCCGGGCTTCCAACGCGCGCGCCGTTACCGCGCCCAAAACCCCAGCGATGGCCTGGACAACTATCTAGCCTTGTACGAGACTTCACGCGTCCAAGATCTCGCATCTACCGAGTACCTGTATGCGCTCAACCACCCGACGAAGAGGACAGTTCAGTTCATGCCATGTCTGGCGCAGATGAGCCGCTTCGCGTGCGAGAGGATCTGGTCGAATCCCTCATCGATCTCGAAACCTGATCATGCGACCAGCGACAACGGGTGGCTTGTGATGCTGGTGTTTGAGGTCGCTAATGCTACCGATGATCCAATCTCTCGTATTGATGACTGCCTCAGGCGCGAAGAGCATGGCGCGTTAGCGGAAACAACGCATACTCAGATCGCAAAAGTAAATGCAGATATTACAAGAGTAGGAACGACGAGCAAGTCTTACGACGATGTCCAGTTCAACAACTCGGGTGTTGACGATGGCACAAAGCCGGCTGACACCTTCATTGCATTACTCGAGTTTGAGCGCAGTGCTGACGGCCCAGGACCTATCCAGGTTCCAAGCAATAAATGGCTTGCGTCTCTCACCACCATCTTGACAGCCGCCGGGCTACACATTCAATACCTCAACACCTACACGCTCTTAGCCTCGCTCGCCAAAAACCAGATCGCGTGCTGACAGCTTGACACGACGTCCGCCTACGCCAGGCTGGCCGCCTAAACTACGCGACACGCTTGCGGCATCGCGCGCCCCAGTTCCAGGCACCCGGCCCAATCGCGCACCACCTCCCCACCAGGGGCACGCGAATTTGAGTATAGAAAGATGCCAAATTTGGGATTCTGAGGTCTGTGGCTGGCAGGGGTATGCATCCCGTTGTTCCTGAGGCGCAACCGGTGAAGCTGCCAGCCCCACGATAAAGAACGCTGCGAGGCCCGCATCGTGTGCTTACATCTGCATCCTCTCATCTCTTACCACCACGAAAGTAACGGCGTATCTTCTACCAAGATGCCGTCCATGAACCTACCCACGAGCTTCGGGCCCTTCTCCGCCCTCCCTCGCGATGCTTCTCCCCGCTTGCGCATCGTCCAAAACTGCCAAATGGGCATCGCACTCCTCGCCGTAGTCGCCGCCTTCTTCACCCTCGTAATCCCATCGGAGCGCAAGTTCTTCACCTTGAGCCTTCTCTACACGCCCCTCCTGACCTCCATCACTACCGTCTACCTCGTCCGCCGAGAACAGAGGCGCGCCGTCGCTGGTACCCTCTCCAAGCAGAGGTATATCAAATACCAGTGTTTCAAGATGGCGGCTGCGATTGGCATGTCGATCATAGGCTTCATTGGACATGTCGCTAGTACACCGGCGAAGGGAGATGCATACTTTGCTGGAGAGCGGGGACTGTGGATTAGCGGAGTCAAGATCAACACATGGCAGGGACTGTTGCTTTGGTTGAACTTCTTCAACTGGTAGGTCATCATTTTCCAACACAACATGTGTCTGTACTGACAGAAATACTTTCGTAGGGTCTTCCTGTGGGCTAGCTTGTTTTATTCTTGCTGCATGACTGGTAGGCAACAGGGCTCCATTGCTCTTACTGGCGAGGAGGCACGCATTGGCATCGACCCTGAGGAGGCTGACGACGAGGCTATTGCTCGCGCTCTTCAGGCTGAGGATCCCAACTGGCAGGGATAGACTGCTCTAACGGAATCATATTCGAGTCGTTTTGTGGGCGACAAGAGCTAGCGATGTCGTTCCCTGATCGTTTCGCATGCTGGATGTAATCAGGATCAGTCGCTTTGCCATCTTCACTTCGGTAGCCTGCACTATGGCTCTGAACAGAATACGACGGGTTAGAGAGCTCGATCAGATTGCTGAAAACTAGTCCAGTATCGCAAACACGCTCCTTAAATCAGCCGTTAATGAATATGGATCCTACTTCTACGTATCATTACTATCTACTCCCCCCTCCCAAAACCAAGTGACCACATACCTTCCCCTCCTACAGTACCAAAGCCATCCACCCAAGAACCCCAGCAACCATCACCGGCACCCCGACCGTCCCAGCAGCATCCGTAAAACCCGGCAGACCCGAAGCACTCGTCGTGGACGGAGTCGGTTCGACAATAACAGTCGCCGTCGTCGTATCACTAGCAGAAGGAGCAGGAGCATACGGAGGCGCAGCACTGCTCTCCTCACCATCAGAAGCGACACTGCTCGGAGCGGGCACAAAATCCGTGGCCGTACCGCTCGATGGCTGGGGCGCAAGCCAAGTAGTGAGCTCTATGAGGCCAGTCGCACTAGTCAAAGGTGCTGACTGAGAAGACCCGGAGGAGCTCAGATCGACGGTACCGGTCACGCTAGCGAGGCTGGAAGGGATTTGCGTGATGACTGAGACGGTCCGCGTAGTCGTGATTGTGGTGAGGGCCGTGGAGCATGAGTCGTCGGAGCTGATGTCGGTAGGCTCTACCGGCGGTGGGACCGCAGGGTAGGACTCTATGTGCACTGAGTCGGGGACGGGAACGGAATCTGAGGTTGTTAGTTTTGGGGATTGAAATGATTGGATGGAAGGGGTGTGCATACACAGATCTGACTCAGATCTTTTTTTCTCGATGCGAGCTTCGCCCCGAATGCCTTCTGCGGCGGCAAAGCCGATGGCGATGAAAGCGACGAAAGACAGATGGTACTTCATCTTGCGATTCGGTGGATTTGCTGTACGGAACTTTGGTAGAGTTGCTCAATTGCTAAGTCCCACGTTAAGGTGGCTTTGGGGATGTATGAGGAAGTATCAGCAGCCGGCACGTCCGGGTGATGCTGGTTCTTATATTTGGCTATCAAACATTACTTTAATTCGTCCTCTGGTGATACCTGTGCACTGCGTATCTCTTACCAGGCAACATCATGACACAGAGTACCAAGCGGGAAGACAATCTCTTTCAGTCAATAGTCTTCGGTTATCGGCTAAGTATGCCACGCGCATGTTTCCTCTCGCGGCATGTTTGTTTCACAGCCGTAAGTACCCATAGCGCTTGTACGAGCGAGTCTGACCAATTGATTTGTGCTTGATTAGCAGCCAAATGAAAGAACAGTTTAGATCAGGGGTATTGCAGCACGTATGCGTTGTTGCACTTCATCCCAATAGTTTGTGTGAAATCTTCCCAAGGACACACGGTCAAGCAGCCGCCCGTGACACGTTTTGTATGTCGTAGAAGCAACCCCAAATACTGTCGGAACAGCCCTGGCCCGAACAGTGTGTCGTTCAATCAGTAAAATTTCTGATCTCCGGTTCTTGCGCGGCATTACTCTCGCATCTGCAAACTCATGCGGAGGATTGATAAGTGTATGCGCCACTTTCTTATGCCGTTGGAGATGGACATCGTGCGCTCAAGCGACACGAAGACGCTGTGTGACATGAGAAGCCTGCATGCAGCCTCGTACCTCTTACATGACGATCAAGGGGCGTAGGTAATGACGATATGCTTCCAAACAAGCAGCGTCAGTGGTCCCATCACGCATCCCTCTGGTAGGTCAATGGTCCCGGGTCGCGTTGAGTGGGCTCGGTGCGGTTCGTAGTCGGCAACAAGACGTAGCACTAGCGTCAGGAGGATTGTACCCCTGGTCTGAGTAGTTGCTAGGTAATGAATGTGGCGATTCGCAAGAATTGTTCAACCAACTTCCGACATGTTTGCTCGAGTAGGAAGATGTACTGCCGCCGGCATGGGGATGTTTGGTCCTCCATCCAGACTTCTGGTCCTGCTCGGCACCTTGCTCTCTTGACGACAGTTCTCCTGGTGGGTTCTCGCGTTGTTCTTCGCTTCAGAGCTGAGATTATCGCTGCCAATCATATCAGGCTCCTTCTCCACCCTAGGTTTCCAAGACGGTAGTTCGTAATCAGGCACGGATGTGCTACCTGTGGAGGAATCTCCCGGTTTTCTCATGCGGACATCTTCTTGCGAGAACGAGATGTGGTCGCTGCCGAACAAACCGCGAATGAGCGAACGTCGTTGCTGTGGTACTTCCGCAAACATGTCGGCATTGAACATGTCTTCACCGGGCGAAGACGAGAAAGTCAAGAGTCGTGAAGGGTCGTTACCAGGGTTCGGGGTGCCTAGGGCTATGGTCTTGATGAGGTGAGCCATGGACATTTCTATGTTGAGCTTGACGAGGTATGCCAGAGGATGGAACATAGCGTAGCTGTAAAAGTTAGTCGAGTTGAGCGATGGTGCACTTAAGCAAGCCAAACTCACACAAATCCATTGGGGATGCTCATCGCGCCAATGATCAAGACGTCCAATAGGAGAGAGACGATAATGATGCGCTTGTTGAAACGGACCAGGCGATTGTACTTGCTTAAGCCGTTCTTAACCAGGTCCGCATTGACGACGCGGATGAAGTACCAATTGAGGTATCCATCGAGGAGAAGAAATAGTACTTTCTCGGTGCGATCCCAAATAGCGTTAATTCGAACCCAACTGCGTCCATTAGTGGGCATACTCGTGAAAAACGGATTGCAGGCGTACTTTGAGCTTATTTGCAGCCGCGCAGGTATCCAGATAATGAACACGCTGATGTTGATCAAGGTCACATAGATCGCGGCGCCTGCGACGAGGCGCCGGCCTTTGACTCGATCCCCAAGGATGATACGAATGCGATTGATGATAATTTGAGGCAGTAACTGAATCTGAAAAACCCAGCAAAGCACTGCTGATGTCAGCCAAGTACGGATGCCAAGGCCACGGTATACTTGCGGACTGAGAAGAAGAAGTAAAAGCTAGGTTCTATAATCCTCAACAAATACAACAGGCAATCGATGGCGAGAGCTACCGAAGCCGCGATTTCCAGCCAAACCATCCAAATATAGACACTGGTCCTTGGGCGTCGACATGCTTTCGTCTGCCTAATGGCGATGAAGGCTGCGGTTATGGCGAAGAAGTTGGTCAGACCGAACGCTGCAGCCGCTACAGCTATGTCTGCGCGAGTCACACGTATAGGGCGGTAGTTGTCGCGAACAAACGGACCCCAAGCACCGAAATCTTGGGGTGGAGCGATCTCTTCGCCCATGGGGAGTTCTAGGAGGCATTCGTTGCGGATGTCGTGGGATGCATAGCGAGATATGAGGTAGAGCCTACCAAGGCTATTAAGAAAATTTCGTTGTTTGAAGCGGCCCGTGGCTTGCACTATTGGGGGATCGCGGAGCCGATGGCGCTACCCCACAAAGTTCAGGATGTAAAGATCCGGTAACGACGAGGGATCATCGACGCGCGTGCATGATAGGCGTTCCATCGGAATGACACCTGAGCTCTGCACATCACGATACACCTCGATGCGAACACTTCTTACAACGGAATTGGATCGCTTGAGATGCCTCGAGCAGAACAACGGTCTATAATGACGTCGATCGTATCTTGGATGGCTGTCGGGATCTTGGGCCGCATATGCTGATTGGGCGAGTTGCGAATGAGATGTGATGGTGGCTTTGGTTTGCTTCTCCTCAACAGCAGCCAACGTTGTCTTTGCTGCAAGCTGAGTGCTGATCGCGATCGTTATGACCCTCTGGTCACCGCGTGGTTTAGGGTAGCGGATCTCGGTGGTTTTCAGTGGCAGTGCCTCCGGCCGAGCGCACTTGCCATATTTCTAGGTTCATCGTCATTACGTGAGAAAGACGTTGCCGTACATCACGGTATCGGAAAATTGTTAAGGCAGATAGCCCTGACTGCGTTTTCGCTGGTAGTTGTGAGATGGGTGAATATACGACACCATTGCCCGAGGCTGTGCTGATGGATTTGGCGGTGACTGATGCGAGGGGTTTGTGACGTATGAAGATCGGCGCCGCTCACTTAGCTCATCTTACATAATCACCCAAATGGGCTGACAGGACTCCGCTCAATTCCGTCGACAGATATCCCCACACTGTACATAGGTCTCGCTCAAACAATGGCGCAACGTAGCGCAGGAGATGTTCGACCCGGAGGACACGATGGGGACACCTGCTGATACGCTAGTAGGACTTGGCACGCAGAATGAGAAGGCGTCAACTGAAGCTACACCAGGCCGAGTACAAAAGATTCATTAACACACTGTCGATTTTGGTGATGGCTTCATGAACGAACTATTGAAAACTGGAGTTTGGATGCTTTCCCTTCCTGGACCCTGCTACATACATCAAGATCTCATCAGTGCTCTCATTACGTGGCTCGTTTGCTTCTGGATCATCGACACCTTCAAAACCTCCTCCATGTGCCCCGCTTGCTATATTCACCGAAACCTGAACCAAAGGTCTCCGAAGGCGCGGTACATAATGTGGCCCTGAATCATAGGCGAGTTATTGAACACATCCAACCAATCGCAAATCTGTTCCATAGTCGGACCCTCGGATAGCACATGGTACAAAATCTGATCCCGAATCTCAGCTGGTATGGATTCGAGGGTCAGACGCCGAACATGATCGCTCTGGCTTCCATGCTGGCTACTCTGGGAGTGTTGGCGTTCAAAAATCGGTTTAGAAGAACAGTGTATTTCCTGCGCCCTGAAGTCAACCCGAGGGAAGACTCCGCTTGATGCGACTCCTGACTGTAGGGCCTCGAGTTGAAGTGCTTGACCTGTGGAGAGAAATTGATCTACTGTAAGATTGCGGGCTGGGTAGGGTAGCCTCAGAGTGTAGAACCGCGTCATTTCCATGAAGTCTGGTGGTGCTC